AACAATGTAGGTGTCAGTGCAGGTCAGCTTCAGCAAAGGGTGCACATCACAGAAATAGTGGTGGTCAGTCTCATTGGGCCCACAAAACAGTAGCTGAATGGTAAGCAGAGTCTGCACCAGGTAGTGCACAAAGCTGCCCACCCAAGAAGCTGCCACCAGCCAGCCACAGAGATGCTTGTTCATAATATTTCTGTAATGAAGTGGTTTACAATACTATATAGCAATACAATGATCATATGCCATCACTGTGAGAAGGAAGAGCCAAAGAAATGGACCACAGACAGTTGAACGATGATACCCACAAAAGGGATGGTCTTCTCAACAAGAAGGTTATAAATGAGATTGGGAGCTGTGACAGTATAGTAGGTGATGTCTACAAAGGACAAGTAGCTCAGAAAGGAGTACATGGGGAATTCCAGCTGTTCACTGGTCCTTATAGTGATAATGATAAGCAGGTTTCCGAGTACGATAGTGACATAGAAGACTAAGAATAGAGAAATACATTTTTGCTACTGTCTCATCTTGTGTGAGTCCATGGAGGATGAACTCTGTCACGTTGTTTTTGTTCTCCACAGGCGCCATGTGGACAGGACTTGAAGCATAGAAAAAAAGCCATTTGCTATGGCATTAGAAACAGGATGTTATCAATACACATACATATTAGTCATTGGCATATTAAATATTAAGCATATTTTCTTTCATGTCTTTTTGAGACCATTTTCATTCAAGGAATAACAGCTGATATCCAACTCAGAATGGGATGCCATCCAGACAGACCTGGACAAGCTGGAGAAATGGGCCTGTGTGAACCTCATGAGGTTCAACAAGGACAAGTGCAAGGTCCTGCACCTGGGTCGGGGCAATCCCTGGTATCAATACAGGCTGGGGAATGAAAGGATTGAGAGCAGCCCTGAGGAGAAGGACTTGTGGGTACTGAGAGATGAAAAGCTGGACATGAGCCAGCAATGTGCTCTCACAGCGCAGAAAGCCAACCGTATCCTTGGCTGCATCAAAAGCATCGTGGCCAGCAGGTCAAGGGAGGGGATTCTGCCCCTCTACTCTGCTCTGGTGAGACCCCACCTGCAGTACTGCATCCAGCTCTGGGGTCCTCAGCACAGGAAGGACATGGACCTGTTGGAGAGGGTCCAGAGGAGGGCCACAAAAATCATCAGGGGGATGGAACACCTCTGCTATGAGGAAAGGCTGAAAGGGACAGACTTTTTAGCAGGGCCTGTTGTGATAGGACAAGGAGTAATGGTTTTAAACTAAAAGAGGGTGTATTCAGGCTGGATATAAGGAAGAAATTTTTTACGATGAGGGTGGTGAAACACTAGACCGGGTTGCCCAGAGAGGTGGTAGATGTCCCATCCTTAGAAACATTCAAGGATAGGCTAGATGGGGCTCTGAGCAACCCGATCTGGTTGAAGATGTCCCTGCCATTGCAGGGGGGATGGACTAGATGACCTTTAAAGATCCCTTCCATCCCAAAGCATTCTATGATTCTATGATTCTATGATAATAGCAAGCTGTTTCTTTATTTGAGGAGTGTGGTAGAAACATCCTCTAAAATCCTAGTTCTCACCTTTGCCTCTTCTGAAAGACAACTAATTGCAAGGTCCCTTTAAGACCCACTTTTACTCTGCGATGTTGATTTGGAAATAAAAAGATGACCAAAAGGAACAGCGCCGTCCTAATTCAAGTCTCAACACTTTACTCACAGCCTGAGGAAGGTGCATGATCATCAGTGAATGTACTTTCCTTTTAAGCCCTCTAAGGGGATGCAACAGAATTACTGCTGATTATTTCTCTGACTGTGATAGACTGTACAAGCTCAGTCACAGAAGGAGGTGTCCAGTGTTTCCTTGGGTCACTTTTCTGACAGTATGTGGATGAGTTAATGTGGACTAATTTGCATTAATGATGTGTTAGTAGCGGGTTGTATACCTCACCCAAGTCCTGGACTGAGAGGGAACTCCTCATAAATAAATTTGTAGTGACACTGGGGTAATGAATGCACTACTGATGACTCTTCTTTACTCACAAACACCCATGAATTCACCTTTGCAGCATTAGTACCCATTACCCAGCACATCGGTATCACTAATATACAATTTATGCATGAAGAAAGAGGCATAACCTTGTCTATGATACTGGCAAGTCCTTTGGGGTCTGAATCCTGTTCAACAATCACAGGTCACTCAGTTCTTTCGCCTTGAGGTCTCTGTCTCACCCACTGGCTACTCCCCAACTTGGGCAGCAGAAAAAATGCTCTTTTGTGTCTTCATCTCTACCTCCACACCCCTCCTTATGCAGACAGAAAGCGCTTTGGGGATGACCAAAGTGTGTGCGTTAGGACAATTGTTGCCTATGTGTACGGTTGAGGAGACAATGTAAGACTGAGCATGTGGGAAATGCTGTCACCAGTTCTTGAGTCCTTCTCTCTGTAACACTGACAAGATCCTTTTGATGGATCTTTTTGGAAACAGCATGTAACTGGGAAAAATAGCAACTAAAACACCAACTAAAATAAAGCTCTAAAAATGTAATTTTTTTTTTTCCAATTCATAAAATGGACCTCACAAAAGTCACTCAACATAAATTCCTATTATCAAAGGCAGGATTTCACAGTCATGCTTAAACAATGCAAAGGAACAAAATTTAAAAACTTACACAGTTTATATTTGCCAATCTCCAAGAGTTCGCGTGCTACTCTGATGACCTCCTCTGACCACGTTAGGCGGTTTCATCAGCATGTCTCAGCTGCAAGTTGTTGCTTAGATGTCATGAGAGCAATATGCATCTTTACCAATTCTGAAAAGTGCTGTCCTGGTTTCAGCTGGGATAGAGTTAATTTTCTTCCCTGTAGCTGGTATAGTGCTGTGTTTTGGATTTAGGATGGGAATAATGTTGATAACTGATGTTTTGGATGTTGCTAAGTAGTGCTTACACCAGTCAAGGACTTTTCAGCTTCCCATGCTCTGCCTGGCGCACAAGAAGCTGGGAGGGAGCACAGCCAGGACATCTGACCCAGACTGGCCAAAGGGCTATTCCATACCGTATGACATCATGCTCAGTATATAACTGGGGCGAGTTGGCCGGGGGGGAAGCGATTGCTGCTCAGGAACGGGCTGGGCATCAGTCAGGGGGTGGTGAGCAATTGTGTCGTGTATCACTTGCTTTGTATATTATTATCGTATTATATTATTATTATTACTACTACTACTACCATTCTATTTCACTTTACTTCAATTATTAAACTGTTCTTATCTCAACCCATGAGTTTTCTGACTTTCACCCTTCCAATTCTCTCCCCCACCCCACTGGGGGGGGAGTGAGCGAGCAGCTGTGTGATGCATAGCTGCTGGCTGGGGTTAAACCACAACAGTGCAGAGGCTGAAATAAGCCTGAGTCTATTTCCATTTCTCATTCTGCAGAAAATAATTTCCAAGAGGATCTGCAAGAATAACTCTCTCTCACAAGATGAGGAAGTTGTGGCAGAAATATTTAAAGTGAATCACACAGCAGAAGCACAGAACTATCCAGAGTAATGAAATCCCAGAGGCATATTAAGATTTCTTTGTTAGAAATCACTAATGAGGAGCTAAAAATTGATGGCTTTTAGCTAAAAATTGATGGCTAAAAATTGATGATTTAGAAATCACTAATGAGGAGCTAAAAATTGATGGCTTTTTAGTTGCTGAAGGGTGATGCTAGAGTGTGATTATCTAGACTACGTTGCATTGTGTGTGGGTTTGCTTGTTAGCTGGCTGACTAGTTACGATTGGCTTTGTGTTTCCTCTGGAAGCATGTATGTTTCAAATTAACATTGCAGTTAGTCATTTGCAAATTTTTTATTCAGCTTACCTTTGTAATCAAACATTCTTGGAATAAAGATGTCTCTTACACAGGTCATTTATATAAAATCTGATTTCTGTGCTAAGGTAAAATTTCTCATAAACATTCTTATTTCTTAGCTTGTTCTTGCTATTGCGTGTTGGCAGCATAAGTATATACCGTAACTGTGCTATAGACTTATCCCTTGGACATCCTGTCTGTAGAAATTTGAAACAAGAAGGAAAACAGGTAATTATTTCAAAACTTTAGAAAGGTTTGTGGTTGATCTTCACTGTTTACCAGATATTTTTACTTAGACAATACAAAACACAGAAGCTATTCTTTAGTCCAAGTATTAAGTTTTTATAAGAATTCTTGCCAACAGGTAGAGGAACCCAATGTTGTTTCCAGGGACTTCTATAAACTATGGTCCAGCTGTGGCCCAGCAGCACTCACCACTTAGAAGTGAGACGCTAAAGCATTAAATACATAAATAAATATTAAGTTATAAGGCCCAACTTGGTCTGGGAACACCTTGTAACCTTGAATCTTACTTAAGCCATGTTAAGGTGTAACACAGGTGTAGCCATTTAAAAGGAACGTAAGTGAAGAAATAAAATGTAAAGTGCTTCAGTTACTTTTGAATGGCACTAGGCAAGTTTCTTCTTCTACACTCAGCTGCAGAAGAACTTCCCCTCCTGTTACTTGCAAATGAACCAACTAGCACCAAGTATTAGGATTTTAATTGCTAATCCATGGATTCAAAACACCACAATGTGGTTCTCATAAAAAGGCATTTATTGCAAGAGAAAGGGGCCTCCTTGCTATGATTGCTTCCAGCAGCAGGTGACCATAGTCTTCTCTTTCCCAGATAAATGGATTACAGAGCAGATGAGTTTGTCTGTCTAAAAGTTTATACCTTGGAGGATGCTAACTAATGGGATGCTCTATCTGGACAATATTTAAAATATCTTTTATAGTATTTATTTGTTTCCTAGAGCTTCAGTAGTGCTAAGGAGCCCTGGGACTGGGCCTGTGCTAGCTAAAAAGAAAGCAGAAAGGGATGTTCCTAATTACAAGAGGAGCCAAAAGCAAGCTTTTCAAAAAAGGACTTATAGTGAGATATATGTGATCTTCTCTGATCCTTTGGAAAAGTTACTGCAGTTCTACACCTCTCCTTTTTCACTTCCCACTTTTCTACTCCACAGTTTTTTCATGGCACTCTTCACCTCCTCATTTCCCAGTGTGTAGATAAGTGGGTTCAGCATGGGTGTGATGACAGTGTAAAACACTGCCACACTTTTGTCCTCTGACAGATTGCTGGATGGGCGCATGTAGGTGAATGTGCACGGCCCAAAGAACAGAATCACCACAGTGATGTGAGACCCACAGGTGGAGAGGGCCTTGTGCTGTCCTTCGGACGTTTGACTTTTCAAGGAAACCAGGAATATGCAACTTCATGGGCTGAGAAGTGAGTTCTGGGGAAGTTACCTATCATGGAGAAAACAGGAAACAATTTCACATATGACTTAATTTAGTATTTGCCATAGCTCTAAATCTCAGCACTGCTACTTTCAGATGAAGGAAGAACGAAAGAATCTGGTGGTATCTTCTGTCCCAGCATAGTATGAATTTTATCTAGTTCTGATTTTTTTTTTATACACTCTGGGGGATATTCTCAAGGGTTAACTTGCTCTTAGTGAAGCTAGTCTAGATGGTGGTCAGTCTAAGCCTCTCTACAGGCAGAATGGCTAAATTAGGGTTCTTTACAGAACACTTTTATTTTTATTGACTAGAATAAGCCTAAGTAAATTAATATCACTAAAGTTAACTGTATTGAATAATCCTCTTTGTCCCCTGAAAGTAGTTCAGAGGCTTCCACAATACCATCCCACTTTTTTGTGCTATGGTGGAACTCCTTATCCTTAGGCATTTCTAAATATGTACAGTTTCTCCTTCCAGACACAGTCACATTCCAGTGTGAACATGGGGCTTCTTTGGTTCAGCCTGTTCCAGCAGTAGCTCCCAGAGTAGTACCAGTTACTAGCAAATAAATAATCTTCATCTTTAAAGAAACTTATAGCCCTTAACATTTCTAGCTTGTTTTTATGCACCCAAACAATCAGAGTCCCTTTGGTAAAAGAAGTCTGGATCAACTAGATTAAAGTCTCCTCAGAGTTTAACCAAAAACAAGTGCCCTTAGAATAGAATTATCAGCTGTATGGAGTTCATTCCAGTATCAAAACATTCCCAGTCAACTGGTGTTAAACACAATTATAAGTCCAGACCAATGAAATCACAATCAATTCTCCCTGTTTGTGATGGTGATCCCCAAGCAGACCTGTAGAATGAAACAGTTAATTCAAATTATCTAGCAACTATTTAAAATTACAGCATAATCAGAAACTCTTGGGCAGGCAAAAATCGATCAAACATACAGAGGAAACACAGGAATGAAGAAAACACAAGATAACACTCAAACCCACAATTTAAAGCCTAGAGAGGAGTGGAGAAATTTAGGGACTTTTCCTGTGGTTGCAGTAAGTAAAAGGTATTCAAGAATAAGAGTAAAATGTACATGGATGGTTCCTCTTCTGATATATCTCCAAAAAAAAATCAATAAAAACAACATGGTATCGATTTTAACTGGTCATACCAAGCTGTGATCCTTTCCATCCCTCTTTTCATTTAGCAATGACATAGATTTCTTCAGAAAATAACATAAAAATATGAAATAAGCACACCTTTATGATCGTGCAGACCCAGCAGAAGAGAAATACCTAGGCTCCATCCAGGCCAGAGCAGAACTAGAAGCAAACTACACCAGTCCCAGTGTCATATTTAAGCAACCAGCTGTTCAGAAAAGAGTGACCAAGGGATAAATGATCAAGGAAAACTATATTCTTAGTTTGATAATAGGAAATTCATAAGCTAAAAACAAGCTGTATATTTTAGAAAAGTTTATAAAGATACAGCTGGTTCACAACACAGCTTTACTGTGTATCCCTCTTGATAAGGTCCCTGCCAACACCACCAAATTACATTTTACAAAATATTCATGTGCCTGATCTCATCTTGTTGACTTATGTCATGTAGGCATCTAGATCTGAGCTAGTCACATGCACTGTTTTTCTGCCTTTGCAGAGCAATTCATGATCAGTCTACAGTATCTACTTAAAGATGTGATGAATTACGTGCTAGAGGTACCTGCTCCTTTCTGTTGACTCAAAGAGGATGACTAGAATAACTAATTCAGTGGAGAATTCCCACACGTTATGTCTTACCTTTTAAATTATCTTTTCAGGGACAGACTAGAATTGTATGATATAATGCAATCATTCGCAAAATAAAAGAAATACAATGTAGACTGCTAACATCTCAAAAAGAGGGAGAAATTGCATCCTCGTCTTATATAATCTCTTATATATTGCATGCATCTCTTATATATTGCATGCATTCTTCTCTAAAATCTCAGGTGATTAATGAAAAAAAAAAAAAAAAAAAAAACAAAGTAATCTGATCTGGGGCTGTAGAACTGGCTCTGTACATGTTTCAGCCAAAGATAACCGCAGACCAGTGATAACTTTAGTGAAACTGTCTTTTTGTATTTTCACAACTGTTAAAGAAGAAAGGAAAAGAAAGAGAAAATGAAAGAAAGAAAAGAAGAAAGGAAACAAGAAAGAAAAGAAAGAGGCCAGACAAGCTGGAAAACTTACCTCCTCTGTAAAATATGAAATAAGCACACCTTTATGATCGTGCAGACCCAGCAGAAGAGAAATACCTAGGCTCCATCCAGGCCAGAGCAGAACTAGAAGCAAACTACACCAGTCCCAGTGTCATATTTAAGCAACCAGCTGTTCAGAAAAGAGTGACCAAGGGATAAATGATCAAGGAAAACTATATTCTTAGTTTGATAATAGGAAATTCATAAGCTAAAAACAAGCTGTATATTTTAGAAAAGTTTATAAAGATACAGCTGGTTCACAACACAGCTTTACTGTGTATCCCTCTTGATAAGGTCCCTGCCAACACCACCAAATTACATTTTACAAAATATTCATGTGCCTGATCTCATCTTGTTGACTTATGTCATGTAGGCATCTAGATCTGAGCTAGTCACATGCACTGTTTTTCTGCCTTTGCAGAGCAATTCATGATCAGTCTACAGTATCTACTTAAAGATGTGATGAATTACGTGCTAGAGGTACCTGCTCCTTTCTGTTGACTCAAAGAGGATGACTAGAATAACTAATTCAGTGGAGAATTCCCACACGTTATGTCTTACCTTTTAAATTATCTTTTCAGGGACAGACTAGAATTGTATGATATAATGCAATCATTCGCAAAATAAAAGAAATACAATGTAGACTGCTAACATCTCAAAAAGAGGGAGAAATTGCATCCTCGTCTTATATAATCTCTTATATATTGCATGCATCTCTTATATATTGCATGCATTCTTCTCTAAAATCTCAGGTGATTAATGAAAAAAAAAAAAAAGAATAACAACAAAGTAATCTGATCTGGGGCTGTAGAACTGGCTCTGTACATGTTTCAGCCAAAGATAACCGCAGACCAGTGATAACTTTAGTGAAACTGTCTTTTTGTATTTTCACAACTGTTAAAGAAGAAAGGAAAAGAAAGAGAAAATGAAAGAAAGAAAAGAAGAAAGGAAACAAGAAAGAAAAGAAAGAGGCCAGACAAGCTGGAAAACTTACCTCCTCTGTAGTTAGAGATCTAGATTTTCACTAAGGGTTGTACAATTTTATCTCTTCAATGTCTGCCTTCCCTGGTAGGAATGTGTTGGAGTCTTTAAAGAATGTAGAATGGCTTCTGGAAAGCTTCCAAAACTTGCTTAGGAGGTGCCTTTTATTGTATCATCTCATCTAATTTAATCTCTTGCTCTTCTCTATCACAAGTGTATCTTGACATTTCCTTCTTATGTAAAAACTGATTTGATGGACTGTCTGGATTATGTGGCCTGTGTGTACTGAATGATGCATTCATAACCCAGCAGCAGAAAGAAGAACTGCGAAGAAAACCATTTAAGTACCACTCTGTAACCCTCTCCCAGGAAATCTCCCACCGGAAGGGCTCTTGGGGCTAGAGGAGGGAGGTGTGGAGGCTTAGTGAAGGAAAGGCATGAAAGGAAGGTGCAAAGGAGGAGAAATTAATTCAGCCTTGACTGAAAAGTTTAAGCAAATGTATTTTAAATAAATAGTTGCCAGTCAGTGGCTTTACAATGATACTACTATAGCATTTCATATTTTACCACTAGAAATAACAGCCAATGGATTGGCTGAATATTAATCAGGACAAGCATGTGCAGCAAACTAGTCCAGTTAACCCCTTCCAGAATCCTTTATTAAACCAAGATGATAACTTTATGGCTTTCCCAAGCGTAGAGGGCCATTATATCGACTGCTTTGGATTTCTAGCATTGTGAGTACTAAAATAGTGCTTTTTTAATATTTGTGTATAAAAAAAAAAAAAAGTAACACAAAGTAAGTTTAAAAAGTCCTTCTCATAAATGGGGAAACTGAAGAAGTCAGCTGGTTATTTTATGTCTTTGGAAATCAGCTAATTTGAGCCTGACTTTGTCACTCCAGGCTTTCCCATGGAAAGAAATACATCTCTCTAGAAACTGACTCCTCTGATATACCTAAGACCTGATTTTAGGATGGGATTAAGTCTGAAATAGACATCTAGATTTTGAAAAAAAACCAGAACTTTTGTTGTCAAGAAGGGTCTAACCTTTCTTAATTTTACATCTGCAATCAAAAGTGAATCTATGAAATGAAACCCAATAAAGCAAATGGACATGGTGATTCATGGCTTAGCTTAACCAGGGTCTCAAACCCCTCATTGTGTAGAGCTCTATTGTGCATTTTTAGCATCTGCCTCACGGATGTCAACAAAGACATTGTTTAAACCATGGCCCATTACTTTGTTGAAATTTCTTGAAATACAGAATGGCCTCATAATAACCAAGGTAATGTAGCCATTTCCTGGCACCGAATGTCAGAGATCCACGCAATGAAAATGGAAATCTCAAAATTAATGTGGAGATTAAATACTGGTCTGGATGAAAATAGTCCTTTAATTTCAATATTGTATTATATTGTTGCCTGGGGTCCTGGACAGGTTAATGAGGGTTAACAGTAGTCAATATAGGAAAGAGTAGTCAATATAGAATGGGTAAGAAAAAAAGTTTTACAGTCTTTGGGAAAGGAAGAGGAACAACAGATGACAGAAGCCAAAGGTGAGCCCTCAGGTATCTGACCTGTTAAGCTAATTTGAGTAAGACCTGCCAGTTTCTGTACCCAGTGACAGCAGCAGTTTGGATAGCATCATAGTCATCTCCTTTTGTTTCCCTAACCAAATAGGCTACCAGAAGTTAATTAATGCACAAGCCCCCAGAAAGAGTTAATGGTTCCTCCTGTTGCAAAATAGTTCCCTGTAAGGATGTGCCTTCTGCCAGGAAAGGATGCCACTTACTTTGGCATCTGGATCTGGAAACCACAATGGTGGTAGTTCATGACTGGGGGAGCCGTGATGTGGCTGAGGAGCATTAGCAGTTTTGGTCTTAGATGGATGCTTAAGAATAGCCATGACAACAAAACAGTACAACTTTGTGTATAACTAAGATGAGTTTGTGGTGTCAAACTTGTTTGGACTGACAGCTGCCACAAGAACTACATGGTACTCGGCATGTAAACCACAGGAAGGATGTTTAATCTCCAGGGACAGAAAGACCAGCTAGACTCAGTCTGCTGTGTTTCATACAAGCTCTCATTAATTAGTTTCATTATGGAAGTACACTCAGGTCTTGAATGTGAGACATGCTTTTGGAGACAAGAGGTCAGTTTCCATGGTTTACAGAAGATGGAGAATGGTTTCTTCACTTCCATTATAGTGGAATGCAAAATTATTGATGATTGGTCATCTATCCACAGGCTACACCTACCTAAGACACTTTTCTTAGGATAAAATACATTACCCTTGGAGCTGCTCATAAACCTTCAGTAATTTGGACGGCAGCTTTAAAGGGTATGTTAAATAAGAAGTTTGCATTTTCAGTGCAGAAAGCTAGGGGCAACAGTCTCACCTGGATTCCCAACCAAGCATTGCTGGTGTATGTGCCTGCCACAGAATAATGTGACCAAGATTGTCTCCACTGCCCCAGGCCATCATCTGGGCAAAAAGATAACCTGCATTGTGTGTTTGTCTTGCATCTATCCATGTAACACTGAGCACAGGGTGTCTGGGGTTCTGTCATGAAATGATAATGGTTCAGTTTGTCCCATTTCACCAGTTTAGCTGGTCTGCCTCTATATAAGCTCTATCATTTTCCAAGGGTGGAAGATGGAAATTCATGCCATTTAGACTGTTCAATGATTCACATCTTCCCAGTGCTCCCCATTTTGACTTCTTCCTCTCTTTGTTTTAACTGTCTCCTGCTTTTCTTCAAGGTGCTTCTCCATCTTGCCATGTTAAAATTAATATATTTTATATAATCTTTTATAATAGATATATTAAAAAAATGTATTTTATAAAAAAGTAATAGCTGGTGGGGAGAGAGGAAGAGAGTCACACTGTTTGACCTCATCAGACAAAAAATGGTGTGAATTCCATTTTGGGACTTTTTTTTTTCTCCAAGATCCCAGTATCATGGGGGAAGGAGCAGGGTGAACTGCCTCAAGGAATGAGGTGAAAGAATTATTTAAGCCGTAATTCTCATGTCCTCTGAGGGTCAGACATTTTGTCCCACATATGGTTCTTGCAATTTCTCTCTGAGAGTCACTATCAAGGGATGACTCTGTCAGACTGAATTATTTATGGTCTGTACATAGGACTCAAGAGAACAAACCAACCACATTGAACTACATTTATTGCAAGAGAAATCAATCATCAACACAAAAAAATACCAGTTATTGTGAATACTCTGCTATGTTTTCTGGATGTATGTATAGGGCAAAACTCAATCAGTTTTAGTGCTATCTAAATTTGTATGCCAGTTGCCTACAACTTTTATACACTCTTGACAAGATTTGTCTCACCGATGTCTCTCTATTTGTTTTCACTAATTTCTGTCCAGCTGCTGGCGCCCAGACACATAGGCCTTCTGACCTGTGGTCTAACTCCAGTTGCTGGCACTCAGACCCCAATACACACAGGTACACAGAGAATAGACTCCCCCACTCAGCAAAAGAGTTAGAAGTGGAATTCAGTAAGATAGAAACAGACTGCACTGATCAGGTGCAGGGCATGACCACACCAGCATGCTGACCAGTCCTTGTTTATGTGCAGCTGTCCCTTTTTATCCCCTTATCACCCTATTTTCACACATACGTTTCTCCTCAAATCACCTAGGTCCACCACTTTCTCTGCCTTTGGTTCCTCCCCTAGAGATCCCAGAGTAAGTCCTGTGCATTCCCGAAATGCTGGTCCCCTGAATCCCATAATGTGTCCCATACACCTAGGCAGTAATTCCCATTGGTCCAAAAGGTGCTACAGCCTTGTCCCTCCTTCACTCATCGTGATGGGTTTCACACCTGGAATGGGTCTGTTAAGTCTCCTGTGACAACCCTAGGAGGAGCCTAAATAGGGTGTTCCCTCTTCTGAGCATGTAATTTGGGTTTCCCTGCCTTCCATTACACCTCTGTGCTCTTCTATGCTTGTAGAGATGCACCGCTGATGGGCCGATATCTCGCCTGTGATGGGCCTGGGAGCTGCTGGGGGAGAGTATTATTTGGCGTCACCTTCCTGCCATTGTGCTCCTTTGTGGATATGTGGATGTGGTTTTTTATCGCATAACCTAGAAAATGCAACTAGCGAATCTCAATAGGTCATTCGCTCATAAGTCCATGTTTTAAGAACATGTATTTGAAATACACGCTCAGAGGTTACAAAAATTGCAGTTTCTTTAGAATTCTGCCTAAGGCTGTTTGTACATCTTTGTTTTTCAGGCTGTAGATGATGGGATTCAGCATGGGAGTTAAGATGCTGTACTGGGTGGACAGGACTTGGTCTAGAATGATTGGTGAGACTGGTTTGGGTTTTGTGTATTGGAACAGAGCAGTTATGTAGAGTAACCCCACTACAGTGAAGTGGGAGATGCAAGGGCAGAAAACTTTGTGCCTCCCTTCTGCAGACTGTATCTTCAAGACAGCGGCAATGATATAGATGTAGGAGATGAAGATGAGCAAAAAGGAGCTTGACCCAAAGATCACAGCAGAAAAAAGAAGTTTACTGAGAAAGGTCGCACTGCAAGAAGCAGACAGGAGAGGGGGCAGCTTACAGCTGAAATGTTTGATTTCTGTATGCCCACAGAATTGAATATTTAACACAGGAATTGTGTTTAGAACTGAGTATGAGAGACCCATTGCCCTTGCACTCCCCACCAGCTGATAACAGAAATGTTTGCTCATAGCCTCTTGATACTTCAGTGGGTTACAGATGGCCAAATATCGGTCATATTCCATTACTGAAAGCATGAAAACTTCACACCCAGCTGAGAGGGAGATGAAGAACATTTGAGTCATACAAGCATTGACAGCAATGCTTATGCTTCCTTTCACAAGGAAATTCACCAGCATCTTTGGAACAACAGCAGCAGCATAACAGATGTCAACAAGGGCTAAAGGAAAGAGGAATATGTACATAGGAGAATGAAGGTGGATGACAGTCCTTAGGACCATCATGATTACTGTGTTTCCTAATAAAATGATTAGGCAAATAATTAAAATCACAGTGAATAGGAGGCTTTGAAGGAGTGGATCTTTTGTAAGTCCCAAGAGAACAAACTCAGTTCTGCTTGGTTGGTTTTCCATTTATTCTGTGACCTGAAGGGGAGAGAAACGCATGATGTTAGCACTGAAATTGGAACACACAAAATCACATGAAATGACAACCAGGCAGCAGGTCAATGTGGGGTTAAGAAAGGAGATTTCAATCCATGTTAGGAAGCAGGGGGTTTTGAACAAGTATCCAGAAAGTGTTTGAAATAGGCCTTTTCCCCATTGAGCCCAACTGGTACTTCCTGTTCCTATTCATTTTGTCCTCTTACTAGGACCTTTCAGATTCCACACAGGAGTGAAGTCTTGAAAGCTGAGCCTGAGACTGAAGACGTGTGGTTTTTCTTCCTCTTGACAATCCAGAATTACAAATTAGGCTACCTGTCACCAAGCATGGGGAGACCATAGGAATTCCAGTAAGTCTGTGCATCTGGTCCTAGACTTTGCTTCAGTTCTCAGGAATTGTACTATTTGGAATTTTTCTTATTCTGCTGAGGGTTCCAAATTCCCACAGCATACGGCTTCAGCATAACCCCTGTGGACACAGAGGTCTCTGAGATATATATATATATATTAATGTGATTGATTCCTGCATGTCGAACTATGGCAAGTGGAAGTTTGGGGCTGAAATGTTTGGGGTTAGGGGGAGGTGGGGGGTTGTTAGGTGTTTTTTAATTTTGTTTTGTTTTTATGATGATTCTGCTCATAACATCAGATAGTTGGATTTTAAAGCAGAGAACACTCATGGGATGTTTCCTGTACAAACCTGCCCTTCTGAACTAGGTCCCTTATTACCTTTTTCAGTAAAATGAAGAAACTTATGTAGGGACAAAGCAGTAAGAATCCCAAGATTAATACTCTCACAGCCTGTGTGATTACTGTTAGTCATTTGACCTGAGGGATGTCTAGCACAGATGTGATGCATCTCAAATATATAGGTGTTCATAGCTTTGAATGCAGAACTAAGTTGCCTCAGTTATGGAATGACATAGAATATCATCGCAAAGTGTCTCCACGCACTTCTTAAATATAGTGTCTCAGGAGGCAGAACTGCAGTTTGAGTCAGTTCTCCATTTTTACCACCACATCCACATTTGGCATGGGTTTCCCACTCTGAAAAGCTAGCTAACTAACTCCATAGTTCAGGCAGAATCAGATCCAGAATGTCACATGTATGAGCACCCAAGGCAAGGAGGACTTGATCTGAAAGGAATCAGGAGACTACAAAATGTGAAGGCTATTACAGGGTGAGATATGATATCCTAAAATAGAGCAAAGATTTTTTTTTTTTTTTTCATTTAAATCAGTATCTAGCTCTTGGCTTCTTCTGCTTCCAGCACAGCAGCCTGCAAATGGGTAAATCAATGGTTTTCAGGAAGTCTTGTTACCTACATGTTCTTAGTTATAAACAGTTTTTCCTCTTCTGACTTGCTTAAAAGTTAGTCATAGAAATCTAGATTTAAGGAAAAATGGTCAGCTCCAGAAGATGATTCATGTCAGTTTTAAGATACTGGAAAGGAATAAGCATCTGGAAATGTTTTTCTATCTCAATTTATAATACAGTTATGTTTAAACTTAGCTGAAGTTGAATCCATCCATCTTTTAATTCCTGTGTAAAGTTGTTCTGTTTGTTTTTTTTTTTTTTTTTTTTTTTTAAATTGGGTTTTTAAGGGTTTATTTTTTTTTTTTAGTATCTAGCTCTTGGCTTCTTCTGCTTCCAGCACAGCAGCCTGCAAATGGGTAAATCAATGGTTTTCAGGAAGTCTTGTTACCTACATGTTCTTAGTTATAAACAGTTTTTCCTCTTCTGACTTGCTTAAAAGTTAGTCATAGAAATCTAGATTTAAGGAAAAATGGTCAGCTCCAGAAGATGATTCATGTCAGTTTTAAGATACTGGAAAGGAATAAGCATCTGGAAATGTTTTTCTATCTCAATTTATAATACAGTTATGTTTAAACTTAGCTGAAGTTGAATCCATCCATCTTTTAATTCCTGTGTAAAGTTGTTCTGTTTGTTTTTTTTTTTTTTTTTTTAGTTTAAATTGCGTTCTTAAGGGCTTAATTTTGTTATTTTTTAAAAGCTACATGAAGTTATTCCATTAAATTTAGAGAAAATATGTAGGATGCCATCCACAAAGAAAAGTCATCATAAGACTACTAAGTCATCCACAAAGAAAAACAGCCAATAGCTGTACCCAAGCCTCGATCCCCTGGAAGCATTGACTGACTGAGAGTGAGCGCTGCTCTGTTCTCTAACTTGGGCCATGTCAGCCTCCCATCAATGAATTCTATAAAATACCCTTACAACTTGTAACCCTGCAATTTGTTGGCTTCTCCAGGTGTCCAACTTGGGCTCAGACTTCCCTGTAAAGTGTGCCATAATTTGGTCTGGTACTTGTTGTCATATTCCCTGGTGGTTTTCTCCAGCTTAACCAGACAGTACAAAAAGTCATTCCACTGCCATGGGGTGCAAACTTGCTCCTGGCAGATAGCCTTTGTCTCCATAGTGGAGGGATAGGATCTGAGTGAGCTGAATTTGCTCAGTCACATTAACTTGTTGACCTGCAGGGAGGATCAGTTCTGACCTTCTTACAGGGGGATCTAGCTCTATAGCTGTGGGAGATCCCGAAGAGAAGCAACTGTAATCCAGCTGTAAATGGCAGTGATCAAAGGATTATCATAGTCATATATAGTCATTGCACCCACTCGGGAGAGGCTGGACTGGAGGCAGGGGCAGGCAGATTATAGTATAGACATTCTTTATCATCACAGGTATCTGTGGCTCTAGCAGAATCAGAGAGGAAGGCACTGTTATTCCCTCTACCAGGTGATGCTGGAGAGTGTATCATTCCCCATGCCTTGAGCTCTGTTCGGAGATTCACAGGTTCTCTAAAATGAGAATCCTCCCAGTCTCTACCTCTCATTCATCTTTGACTTGTAGCTTGGCCTGGCTGATGGTTTAAAACACCTCATTTCTGAATTAACAATTTACAAACCATCCAGATATTCATCCTTGCATGAAGAAGCCAAGACCGTACCTCACCCCACTACAGTGCCTGCCTTACATCAGCTCTCGTGCTTAGAGTGGTTACAATGTCCTCCACCCAATTTTTCCAGTCCACCCAGGGAGCTCATGGCTCCAGGCATACCCGTGACCTCCCCACCTTTCCATCAATTTCCTTATCCTCTCTGAGTTTGACCAAAGGGCCATTTTCCTCACTAACCAAAGCCTTGTTCCCTGCCATACCTAGTTTGATGACTTCAGAACAGGATCCTGACAACTATGCCAGATGTTATGAAGCTGTGGGTAGCTGCTGATGCCATTGAGTCTGGAACAGTCACCAATACAGTGATGCCAGAATGGTCAGTCCATATGTTTTGATATATCCTTGCAGGCCAGGAAGAGCACTCTATCCTATTCCCTCCCTGGTCCTTCTGAACGTTGAAGCAGCCTCAGCTCTTAGTGTATAGCACTATATATAGTATATAGTGTATACTATAGTATAGTGGAGAGCAATGAGTTTGGCTTATCATTCTGCTCCACCCATGGTGGTTAAATGCAGTTGTCTAAGAGGTATTCTAGACAGTCTTGGTGACATCATTTGCATGCCTTAATTAATCCCTTTTCACATTTCTTGACCTTCCTTTGCACTGCCTTTGTACCTCCCTTTGTCCTCCTCAGTTTCCTCCCAGATAAACCATCCATCTTAATCACTTTTTCCCCAGTGGTCCCACTTTTTCTACATCCATTTCCAAATATGGTATTTCTTATACTATTAATCTCTGCCCTATATGGTATTACTGATACGTTATCTAGCTGCTGCTGGTCCTGCAAGCTTTTATTCCCCCAAAGTTCTCCAGTACTTCTTCCCAATTATTGGTGATGTTCTTCCATTCCTTACATAGACCCACTTAACCATCTGTGAAATCCAGCCATCTCTCACTGTGCTATCAGCAAATTTTCAACTCCTCACACTGTCATCTGTGATGTCCAGAAACTTCACATATCATGATGGGTAGTTTTTGATAACCTGTTCAGCTACATTAACCTCAGGCTAGTGATTAGCCAACAGCTAGTAATTTGCCTGCAGCCCTAACAAATTTCAGCACCTGTATCTACATTATCTTAGGAAATTTTCCGACGTCTTCCAGAGTAAAAGCAGGTGATGAGTTTATATGTAGGCAGCACAGGCTATCAGAGACTTTGGACTGGACTCCCAGCTTAATCCTAAAAGAACCAAAACAGTTAGGGGTATGGGGGACTTGCCCTATGAAAAGATGTTGTTAAGCCTGGAGAAGAATAGGCTTCCTGGGGACCTAATGTCCCCAGGATTAGGTCCCCTGGACTACTAGGCTTTTAAGATATGGAAAGGCTATCAAAGAGATGGAGCTAAGCTCTTCACAGTGGTGCTTGGCAGGAGAACAAGTGAGACAAGCTCAAATAAGAGAGGTTCAGACTGGATACAAGCAGAAACGTTTTTGTGATGAGGACAGTCAAGCATCAGATAGCCCAGGTTGTGCAGCCTCTGTAGTTTACCCTCAGTAGTTTTCAAGACTCAAACAGATCTAGCCCTGAGCAACTTGGTCTAACCTCATAATTGACCCTGCTTTATGCAGGATGTTGGACTCGATGACCTCCTGAGGACTCTTTCAAACCCAAATTATCCTCTGATCCTCTGACCCTGTGATTCTATTACATCTGTTGCGATTTTGACACAAATATTGACTTTGGGAAGGTTTCATCTCAAATAACTTTGGGTAAAGTAGATGTAGATATCTAAGCTACACTCACTAGGTTCCTGTTATGGTCAATAAAGAGAAGGGAGAGCCTTAAGAGAGATTTCCTAGAAACCTAACTTAAAATTGGAGAAATCACAGCTGATGCTTATTTCTTTATTTCTTACTTCAGCAAACCTGAACCAAGGTAACCTGAGGTCCAACTTTGTTGAAGCCCATAGCAAATGAAACATGTGAGAGACACAAGAAAAAGGAGAGAGAAACAGAGAGAGAGAAAAATTATTAAATTAACTAAATAT